TCACAGTCATGACACTACCTCAGCAAAGGCCAGAGCCATGAGCCATTTAAATAGCTGCAGCAATCCCAGGTGACTGGCAGGCAATGCAGTAGTGGCAGGGCTGCAGGCCCTTTAAATCCGCAGCCCCGCCCATTCTGCACCAGGCTCCATCCCTTCTAGGGGTGGAGCTGGCCCATGACCACATACCAAAATTCATTAAGTATCCCCCCTGTCAAAAGTATTGCCCACCCCTGGCTTAGAACCTGGGGCCAGACCCCGGGCTCCACATGGTGCTGCCACTTTCAAAAGCCACATGCAGTCCAGGGCCAGCTGGGTGTCTCCAGGCTGCACGCGGCATTTCAAAGTGGCAGCACCATGTGGAGCCCAGGATCAGATGGGGACTGACACCGGGCTCTCCATGGCATTTCAAAGCGGCAGTGCTACAGGGAGCCGGGGTCAGCGAGGGAGGCCCCAGCTGACCCTGAGCTCCACACAGCACTTTCGCCCTAGGGCTGTTGCTACACTTCAAAGGTGGAGATGCCCTATCAACTAATTGAAATAGTCGATGCAAAATGCATTGACTATTCGATTAGTCAATTAGTCGATATTTAACATCTCTAGTACAAACCTTTGATGTATATAACATGATGGAATCAAACTAACATGACTTCTGCAAGAGAAAATTGTAGTTGGCTAACCTGTTGAAGTACTCGGAAAAAGTTCATATAATAGTAAAGTGACAATACACAATCTCCTTGAATTTCCAAAGATTTTGAGGCAGTCCCTCAATAGAAGACTTATAAAAAAATAAGGAAATAAAATTCAAATCCCAAATTTTAACAGTCTCTGGGGATGCAGCATTGAACCTAAACTGGGATCCAAGTTTCACATCTGGTTCCGATCTCATAATAGGACAAACCAAACCCAATATTTAAAACTCTAGAGGTAAAGTTTACTGTTCCAACCCATTTCACAGTTACAAATGAAATGGGTGCATATGTCTAAGGGAAAGAAATAAAATATAAAACCAAAACAATTACAATAATTTTTTGTTGGATGAAAGTAGAGAGAACTGATGTAATTCACTGTTGACACTACATTTCTGTGGCTGATACAAACTATAGAAGATTATGAAAAACAGAGCAGTCAGTCTTGTTGGTTTTGGTTAGCTCTAGCTCTGACAAAATATTTTGGTTGGTTTGTATTTGCAGAGTGTCATATCCCTGCAGTTTCACTTAAAATTTTGGGTTCATTCAGATCCAAAACGTTGCAGGCAAAACAGGTTACTTCTGTTCTGCTCTTTGTATCCCCTGTGAGCTCATTATGTTTGGGCAGTTTTCAGATGATAACAGGGCTAAAACTAGACAAAATATAACAAGTAGGACATGTTTGACTGGCTTATTTTAGGCTTTTAGTTGTGAGACAGGCGGTGATTTTTTAAGACAGATTGTAAGAGGGCTTTTAAAAATAGTTGCATTTGCACTAGATGAGATCTTCAGCTGATATAAACCAGTTTAATGTCTCTCTGTCACACATACACACACATGTGGTTACATCTACACTTGCTCCCTAGTTCGGACTAGGGAGTAAGTGTAGACGTACCCATAAAGACTCATAATTGTTTTGTGTCCCTTGTTTTAATTCAGTTTAGTTTCTTTTTACTCGCAGTACTTTAGTTAGCTTTGTAATCCATAGGGCTAGACTGGCAAGTTTTTCCGCAAAATCATATGATTTTGCGGAAAAACTTGCCAGCTGTCTATATTGGCCGCTTGAATTTCCGGAAAAGCACTGACGATCTCATGTAAGATCGTCAGTGATTTTCCGGAAATACTATGCTGCTCCTGTTTGGGCAAAAGTCTTTTTCCGAAAGACTTTTGCGCAAAAGGGCCAGTGTAAACAGTACAGTACTATTTTCCGCAAAAAAGCCCCGATCGCGAAAATGGCAATCGGGGTTTTTTTGCGGAAAACCGCATCTAGATTGGCCACGGACGCTTTTCCGCAAAAAGTGCTTTTGCAGAAAAGCATCCTGCATTTTCGGAAAATCATGCCAGTGTAGACGTAGCCTATGTGTTAAGGTTCCTACAGGCTTAAGTGAGTACCATGTCTATAAGGGAGGCCTGAGGAGAGGAAAGATGAGGCAGGGTACTGGAACTAAGGTGCTTGGGTGCAGCAGCACCCTGTAAATGAAGTGGTTTCCATCATATGCTTCAATATCTTTGATATAGGTGAGAGGATTATTCTAAGAGGTGTGGTTGAGATTCTGTGGCCTGCACTGTGCAGGGGGTCAGACTAGATGATCATAATGGTCCCTTCTGACCTTAAAGTCTATGAGTCTATATGCAAGATTTAATTTTGCTCAATGGTTTTCTGCACCCCGACTATAAAATTTGTTCCACTGCACCTGCAAGGAGGAAAGGGACACCGGAGCAGAAGTGATAGTGGGAGAGGAGAAGGTGAAGGAAAAGGTGAGAAGGGGCAGTGACAGAAGGATGGCAAAATACCAAATGCTAGGCATGCCTTTCTAGGCCCTAATGCACTGTCAAAATTGTACCTGACAGCCAAGTTGCTATCTGTATCCACGGCAAGAGTGAGGTAAGCTGTGGAGTGATGACATTGGCTTTTCAGGAATACATCAGGTTAGTATAAGGAGGTCTGTCACCAACAGAAAGAGGGTGAGAGTGTGCAGGGTGGCACAGACAATAGCACCACTGCTATTCAAGGAAGGGAGGGATATCCGCTTTGTGTCTCCGGGTATCTGCATCCACGAACGTGGCTGTGGATATCTGCAAATTATTTTTGCAGACATGGAGGCAGATGCATATTTTGTATCCATGCAGGGCTCTGTTTATTAGTATGTGTTTGTACCTGAGCAAGGGGGCCTAGCTATTGATTTGGCTCTCTGGACACTACTGAATATAAATAATAACCACGGCAGGGAGCAGCAGCACACCTGGAGGCAGAGTGGGCCCAGGTGCTGGAAGGGATGGAGGCATTGGCTGAAGCACTGAGGAGTGAGAGAGGGCCATGGCAGAGTCAGTGGAGATTCATTGCCAAAAAAAGGAAGTCAGAAGCACAGCACAAAGGTTCATCTTAGGGAGTTGCCCTTGGCCACAACGAGGAGACAATAGCAATGGTGAGGGGTATATCCAGCACTGATGCTTGAATGATGATGGGAATAGATGTGGTGCTGCTGCTGCTGTGCCAGAGAGACTCTCACGGGTGATGCCAGTAGAGAAAATGTGACTGCCCCTGAGGAGTAATGCCTCTTTAAGAAGTGAGCCCATGATCCTCCTACTCTACCCTACTCCCAGGGAGCTAAACTGGGTGCAGGCTGATTCCACTGCACTTGCAATTGAAGCAAGGCTAAGGGCTAGATTTTTAAATGTGTTTTGATGTTCTTAAAGTTGCAGATAGGTGCCTAGCGAGATGCCTAGGTGCTAATGCCCATAAATTTCAGTGGGCGTTGGAAACCTGGGCACTTGTATAAATCCCACTAAGCAGCTATCTGCATCTTTAGGCACCAAAATAGCTTTGCAAATCTAGCCTTAATTCCTTTGGGATGCTCAGATAAAAAGGTGAATTAGATCCAGTTTCTAACTGCACCGGTTGCTACTGTGTATTTTTAACACTGGTGAAATTACCGATGTTCATCTTTTAAAAAATGTTGTTTTGTTTCCCTCCAAGGTATTACTCTAACAATAAATTAGTATTATTTGCCCCAGTGTGTGCCCACGCAGTATCACTGATTTGTACATAAACAAAAATTGAAAAGATGGCAATAATCTCTCAAATGTCACCCATTGTAAATTGAATTATACTTACCTACTTTATAAGCATATTATTAGGATCAATTAATTCATGTTTATAAAATATGTGGGGATGCTTAAATAAAAATTGCAATGTCAGTGCAAAGTATAGAATTGTGTGATACATTTCATTTTTGCCTTTCAGACATATTTTAATTTACTCCTGTATGAACCAGCAACATTATGCTCCAGGTTTTGGTTTGTGTATATGTGTCCAGTAATTTTTTATTGCATTTGAAGGCAAACACTTTTGCTCTATCTGGATTTCCATCAGTAGTCTGAGGCTTTGCTGGTTGCTTTCAAGTTCAATGTGTGTGTTTTTTGGGAAGGGTCACAAGAGGCAAAATCACATATTACTTTTCCTGTGGCCTTGACTGGCTGAGCAAAGTCTTCATTTCTCACAGCATCTGTGTTTAGTTGAACTCTTTTATCCATTAAAAACAAAAAGATCATTTCATCCCATTTTTATTTATCACAGAGGAAGAGTCTCCATTTGTGAGGTCAGGTAGAGAATGGAGAAACAGTCAGGAGGGTTTGTTTCCTTTTATGGCAGTCCTACAAAAGCAATGCATTAGAGGGGTCTCACCTTTGTTTCTTTCTTGCAGGCACTGGTTTAGTATAATTCATAAGTGAGCCCATGCAAATATGCCTAAACCTGACAAACCTATGGGCAATACAGAGATTAATTAATCTTATCTGCGTGTTTGCATTGGAATTGAAACATGAAGAAATTGGTTCTTTCTTAGCAAACCTTTTGATAATCTCCTTGAGAACCAACCTAACTCAGTGCTGACAAACAAGTCTCTTTTTAACTGAATTGGAAAGGGTTGGCACACCTCTGTTGTTAACCAATTATGATAAAGATGGCCTCTACTGACAAGATATGCCATATGGCTGCCTGTCTGTGTTCACACACCAAAGGTTTTCACCTTTCTTCTATAGAGCAAATTCGTCTCTGGTTTCAGCCATTTATACAGATGGGAGATGTGTCCACTTATTGCATGTCCTAATTTGTTCTTATGGATCTGCAAGTTTGTGTGTCTTTATTTTCCACATAAGCATGCACATTATCATAGTTTGCAGGTAATTCCAGAATGGGTTTTTACTGTAGTCATTTTTATTATATAATAAATCAGCTATAGTGAGTGCACATCCTATACATAAAAAGAATGAATAAAAAAAAAAAAAAAAAACCACAGGACTCCAGGTGTCACACATAAATATTTTAATGGTTTGAGACATGAGTGCCCATATGAAACAAGCCTTTATAAAAAATATATACAATGCAATAAGCAACATAATCAAATCAGCAAAGAACATTTATCCCAGCCTCTTAGAGAAATGCTTCAGCATAATGAACCAACAGTAATATCTCGTCAATACTATCTCTGAATTGTATTAGGCAAAAGTTAAACAAGTTGTACCATCATCACTTTTACTAGTAATTTTTTCTATGCTGACAGCATTTTGAATTGCTTAAAGGTGGTAAATAAGCTGTAGGTATAAATGAACTTATTAGGAGTTATTATTTTAAAAGGCTGATCCAAAATATATTAACGCTTGAAAGCAATGTTCCACACAGCTGACCAATTTAAAGAAGCCCCTGCTGGTACAAAGAAGAAGGAGTTAGCAGATATCATTAAACATAACCAGATGAGGCTGCAGGTAGCCAAAGCTTTCCTTAATGAAAATGTAAAGAGCATGGATGAAAATGATAGTCCTCCAATCCAATAGAATACTCTGGTAAAGACATTTAATTACAATCAAGATCTTTTTAGCACCAAAGGAGTGTTGTTTGTTGATCAGGATTTATTGCCTGACGTGAACTGTTAGGCTTGTGACTAGCAATATAATTATTTTCTACAGTAGACTATGCTAGTACTTAGACCTATTTAATGGACAAGGTAATATGTTCAGTAGTTATAGATTTTAACATAAAACCACCAAAAGCTGGACATGTTCAAAAATGAAAATGTCCATGTCATTTTTATCTCACACCTTTTTGGAATAAAGAAATTCATAATGACATGCATTTATTTTTAAACACAGATGATCTGACTGTTTCAAATACTAGGTGATTATAACCAACAGAATAAGAAAAAGTGAAGGTAAGGGAATGATCTTCCAGGTTCTCTGTCAGTCTGTATGACTGCATAGGAATTTTAGGGCAGTCACCACCAAAACGTCAGCGTGTATAAAGCAAAGACAGTTAAGGGTGCTCTGCAACATACAAAATCAATCCTTAATTCAGAACAGCAACAGCACCTCATGACACCTCGTCACCAAAAAGACACTGACAAACTAGAGGGTGTTGAGAGAAGAGCAAGAAAAATTATCAAGGGACAGAAGGCATTGATTTATCAGGAAAGATTAAATGAGCTAAATCTGTATACACAGCTTGGTTAACTGACAACTAAGAAGAACGTTATAATAATCTAAAGATACTTGAAGGAAATAACTCCAAGGAAGGGAAGGAATTATTTAAGGAGGTTCCAGGGAACCTAACTAGGAGTAATGGGATGATATTAAGAAAGGGAAAAAATGTTGACAGCAAGATCCATTAGGCAGTGAAATAGTTTCCCTAGGGGAGCTCCATCACTTGGGACATTTAATCTAGATGCACAAAACACTAGAAAATATGCCCTAGGACAAACTCTTGCATTGGCAAGGAGCTGGACTGGATGACCTAAAGGTTTGCATGTTGCTAATTTATGGGAGTCTGTAATTTTCCTGGCTTGTGCCACAAACTCAGAGTTTAACTTGAGTGTATTTATTTATTCTGGGCCCAATCCAATTTCCACTACAGTCAATGAATGTTTCCAGTGGGAGCTGGAATGAGGCCTCCCTGTCTTTGTCAGTGTCTTTGTTTCCTGTTTGAACTGTTTTAAAAAGGAAAAAAAACCAATCATTCCCAAATGATTACAACAATGAGTGTATTACTTACCCAACAAACCAGAACAACTTCCTCAGACTGTATAGAAATGTTAACCCATGTTTATCCTTGCTAGGAAAGATGCTTTTACTTTTAGAACCTCTCGAGTAAACAAGCATGTATTTTCAGAAATACATGAAAAGGAGCTAGAAACCAGAAAAGAAAAAACTTCCAATGTACTTAAAAATATATCAGTGGAAAACTGATTCAGATACAGAAGAGTTAACTGACTGTTTTCTACACATTAAATGAAAAGGCATTTTTAAAATTATGAGCCCTCTTATTTGAATACTTCCCAGAACATGAATGCAGCTGGTAGAAAAAATAAAATATTGTTGCAATGAGTTCATCCATTGATCAGGTTTTGACTATATTTAAACAGGAATGTAGTTTGGCCTTTAAAAAACAATTAGTAAACACATATGGGGACTCAGATTGTCCTAATTTACATGCATAAGATCCAGTTAAAAAAATTGAGTATGTATATGACAGAATATATGTGTACAAAACACATTCTTCAGCTGAGATGTTGTATACCAACTTTCATCCTCGCTTACATCTGTACAGGAAATATATGTCACTAAAATAAAGGCTGATAATAAAATCTTTTCCCAACTATAAATATATTGCCATGAATTTTAAATGGTAAGTTAACCGATTTCTTCTCTACAGTTCACACAATAAATAAAATCCTATGTGAAAAAATGGAGCCTTTTATTCCTTTGTCAAAATCTGATCAGAGTAAACTACAGATGTTAAAAGGCAGTGCAATTCAAAGAATTAAAAAAGAGAATCTTATGGGGGTTGTAGGAAGAACAGTTTTAGAGAATAATGTGGAAAATGTTAACATGCCATTATATAAATCAGTGGCTCATCCTCACTTTGAATACTGAAGACTGGTCATCTCATCCCTGAAAAGAGATAGAAAAAAAATTTAAAAAAAAAAAAAAAGTCTAGAGAATGGTAATAAAAATGATGAAAGGCAAAGGGGAGGGGAATTTCATGAGAAGAGATTATAAACATGAGAACTATGCTGCAGGGGAGATCTACCCCATGGGGGTGCAAATAATATTTGTGCCATGACTGGTTCCATCTGGAGAAATGCTTGTGACCAGCGCTTCATGAGACCTCTGTTGCCAGAGACAGTTTATAAGACACACGGAATCCCAGCCATTCTTGTGGCTGCTCTGCATAGCTATGGGTCTGCTATGAAGCAGGTATTCTGCATCATTGCAGCCTCCTCTCTGGGAGGACTTTGACTTGCCAGAGTCCCTGCTGTGAATCAAAAAAAGGCAATATGCCTTATGGATACAGTACTAGGCTGGGACTCAAAAGAACTGGCTTGTTTTCCCAACTCTGTCACAAACTTGATAGGTGACCCTGGACACTTATTTTTGTGCTATTGTTTTCCCTCCGCATTTTTAGAGGAATTTTTTTAAAATGTGAGTGATGTAGATGCACAAGTCCCACTGCCTTTCAGTAAGATTTGCACTCCTTAGTCATTTGGACTCTGTCGAAACTCCACTTTTTGCCTATTTCAGCTGAAAGCCCTTTGGGGCTGAGCCTGTCTCTCAATATATATTTCCATAGTGCCAAGTACAATAAGGTCCTGATGTTGGCTCGGGTCTGTAGACACTAATATAATATAGATCATTTCAACATCGTCATCAAACTCAATTAAAGACATAGAACACTAATATAATATAGATCATTTCAACATCGTCAGCAAACTCAATTAAAGACATAGAAAAAAACCTTCAAATTCTTCCATATTGCAAGATGAAGTACAAATTGACAGATTTAAAATGGGTAAGAGGTATTACTTTTTTTAAAAATGCATGGGTCACTTGTGGAACTCATTACTGCAAAGCATGACTGAAGTAAATAGCTTAGTACGATTTTTTTAAATGACTAGACATTTAAAGAAATAAAATGGCAGAAGTTGGTTGAGGTTCAATGGCATGTGTTATGCAGGAGAACAGATTAAATGAGCATAGTGGTCCCCTCCAGTCTGTAGATCTATGAACATTTGACTAGCTAGGAATTACTGGTAGGTATCCCAATAGTTCATGGCACAGTTTAGTCACAAATTGGCGCCAGGAAGACATTGTCCTCATGATAAAGTATTGCACAGTTAGGCACATTATGTGAAGGGACAAGCTTCCTCTGAATCATCAGGTGTTGGCCTTTGTCAGAGTCAAGACACCATACTTGATAGACCATTGGTCTGTTCAGGTATAGTGATGAATAGGTTCCAATATTCCTCAAGCAAATGTTCAGTGGCACAAAAGTCCTGTGTATGCGAGGTCAATAGCTATGTGATCTATCCAATGATGAAGAGGTTACTGCAGGACTGGAAGCACTGTACAAGTACTGCAGAGACCCAGAAAAGACTAGGGAGCTTATGCCGCCTATGCACCACAGTTTTGCATATCCTATCTCCTTTCTATCCCTGCACAGGTGTCACAGAGGCTGCAGCGAGCCGGGTGCTGAGATAACCCCCACAGAAAGACAAAGGGCCGTGGAATGGAGGAGGATTCAGTGAGTGCCTGGATAAAACAGGCGTTTGAGTGTGGGATGGGACTGGAGGGTCTATGGGGCCTCTGCAGACCCTCTTTCCCCAGCTATCTGCATGCAGGGGGTTCTTGCCAGTAATTCTATCTAATCCATTTAGAAGATTTCAACAGACTCTGGTGCTGAGGGAGACTTCTTGGGTCACTTTACCATCTCCCTGTGCAGAAACAACAGAGGAGGTACTATTTTTCCATGACTACATTCTTCTCAATCCCAACTACACAATAGGCCATATATGGCACTGGGGGAGGAGTCTTATACATTGTCGCCAGGGTAATGGTGGAGTGGGGGCTGCTGCAGAACTGTGACAGATCAGAGGAGTTCTGTATTCACCACTAACAGGAGTAGATTGGCCCTATAGGTGTAGGAAATTGTTTACCTGATATAACCAGAGACAGCAATCTCTAAATATATGAAAAGAATTGATGCGTGTGTAAAATAAGCACAAAATTATTGCACTGTTGTGATTTCTCTATATTTATATCAGTTAGCAACTTATATTTTGAATTATTTCTTTGGCGGGCAGAATGCACAGTGGAAAAAATGCATAGTATTCATAAAAATGATTGTCCTGTTCACTTGTATACCTATGCAATAGCAATCTCTAAATATATGAAAAGAATTGATGCGTGTGTAAAATAAGCACAAAATTATTGCACTGTTGTGATTTCTCTATATTTATATCAGTTAGCAACTTATATTTTGAATTATTTCTTTGGCGGGCAGAATGCACAGTGGAAAAAATGCATAGTATTCATAAAAATGATTGTCCTGTTCACTTGTATACCTATGCAATTTATTCTTTAACAGCTTTTTACTTCAAAGAAATCACTAGCTAATGACATCTCAGACTTTTAAAAAATCCACTTATTCAAAATCCTGTCCCTGAGGGAATTCCAGTATGTTATCAGAAATTTTTCCAAAGATCATTAGCAGATATTACAAACCGATTGAAACTGAGTATTTTCTTTGCAAATTACTTTTAACTTTAGAGCTATTGAAGAAAAGACATTGAGTGATTTAATTTACTTAATCTGTCTACAGATTGCAGTTATGTGCACATTCTGTGATTGCATTTGCAACAAAAAGCATGTATAACTATTCCTAATAGAGATATTTTTTCTAAATTATCATACTAGATCAGTAAGATCTCTGAAGATATTAATGTTTACTTTTTCATTTGGAAAATTGCGCTAAAAATGGGCATTTGTACTTTGTTGATATGTTAGGAAATAACAACATTGTGTCACACTTTTTACCTGCTAGTTTAATTAAAACTATCCTACAGTCCTCAGGTTGGGATGCCTGAGGGTATGTTTTACTAACTTTTCTTAAAATCGTTATATTTTTACTAGGCAACGCAACTAATATTTTACATAAGACGCACTTTATACACTTACTGCGACTGAACCAAAGCCTTTCTCCTGTGCCAAAGTAACCTAGCTTAATGATGAGAGTGTGGATGAGGGAAAGGACTCTGGCTCCCCAACTCGCACCAACCCTGGGGCTGCATCTTTATTCTCCAAAGATCAATGGTCAGTGAATCTATGCAATGGTAGATCTACTGCCAATGCCTACTCCATGCTATCACTACTATGCCCTACTCCTGCTTCTTCCCAAAACTACACTCACCATCAAAACCCTGTACTAGAGATTGTCCACAACAGAATGGACTGCAAGTTATCAATCCTTCCTGTCCCACCTGATGATGATTGGAAATGATCCACTTGTGTTGTGTTTGTTGACCTTTCTGTTCTCTGGATTTTCACTATTTTCATTGAATGATGTCACCACAAAGAATAGCTTACTGAGGACTCAGTCTTCAATTAATATAGTTGGTGGTTCACAATACAATATCAATTCAAAAGAATTTTTATGTGTGCACTAAGGGTCTTCAATAGTACATACATTATTAGATTACTGGTATAGTCCTTCTTGTAACCCCTGTTGTTATTAACTATATATATAGCATCAAATGTGTGCTAGGTGCTTTAAAAACAAATATGAATATAAGAGATAAGGACTGTGTGAAGCAGCAATCCTGCTTTGAAAATCTCATTAGATGCCTATCTGCACCTTTAAGCACCTAAATATCTTCAACAATCTGAACTAAACTCCCTTCTTTGAAGAGCTTAAAATCTAGGTAACAATATTGTTTCACATTACATGGTTATGGAATAAATATGTTCAAAATGGAGTTGTCTTTACAGGAAAAGTTTTGCAGTATTCCACACAGCCATGTCTCAAAGCCTACAGTTCCCACCCCCCAAGTGGTACTGCAGCATTTGTGACTACCTCTGCAAAATACTGCTACTTTTCGTGAGTAGAGCTTATTTGTATTCATAGGTCCTCTTCTTATTACACTTATGCAACTCACATTCCAGTATTTGTCAGGACAATGCACATATATCAAGAGAAGGACAGATCTCATAACACTTAGGACTTTTGTTTATATTTTACTAATAACACCACAATATACTATAGACATCACACTTTAGCGGTATTAGTATTAGCCCCTACCTTTTTTTCCCAGGGGATTTTAAAATAAATTAGTAAGGTTGTTGCTTGTAAGTTAACATGTTTTGACAGCCATGACTATTGAGGTTCCCTTTAGTCTATATTCAAACACCCGGTACAGTGCAACATCAATGGTGCAAGAAACTGTAACTGTGGTTCCAACTTGCCCTGACATGTGCACCGAATAGGCATTCAGTGCTAGATCCTCAGCTGGTAAATCGATATAATTACCTGGACTTCAATGGCATAACACAGGTTTACACCAGTTGAGAATCTGCCCATAGTCTTCCTCTTCACTGAATCATTGTCATCTGTATTGAGCCTGACAACACAGGTTAACTAGTGCCAGCTGTGATAGACGGCCATTTACTGGTATAAATTACTGTTGCACCATTGAAATCGCTGTAGCTGCAATAAGTAACAGGAGCTGAGAATCTGGCCCAGAGGTTTTTTTTACAATGAGGATTCTTGTCCTGTTGGAACTGTGTGTAAACCACCAATTGATTTCACATAAACTACCAAACAGACATTAGATTAACTTGCAGTCACTGCCAGCTTGTGTCAAATTAGACGGTTGAGGCAGAAGTGAATGACTCTGGATCCATTACCAACTCTCTGAGCCATCCAGTCCCTGCCTTATAATATATATGTCACAACATTCTAAGGAAAAGCTAACAAATTTAACTTCTAAAGAAGAAAACAGCAGGAGAACAAAAGTAATGCTAATAACAATCACATATAAATATAGTGTTTTACATTTCTAACAATTGTGCAGATCCATGTTTATTAGCAATAACTTGGACACTTACTTCTGTGAAAA